TCTACTACATTGTATTATTTTAAACCTCTTCTAAAAATGATGGTTGTTAAGAGCGAATGCAGACAGCTCACTAGACACCTGGGTGCAGAAGTTTCAAATATATTTGAGAGACAGTATAAACTTGAATGCTCTGATTTGATCTTACATGAAATACCTATTTATGGTCAGTTATCCATTAACAGGCCTTCCTTACTGAAAACCTTTGGTTTGAAAATATTCCTATAAACACAAAGGCAGAAAGAATGAATAAAAGGACTGATTTTCGTGAGCCCATTTTCTTAGATCATAAAGCCATATTTCAAATCAAAGAGAATATGCAGGTTCTGTCTCCTATTAGCATTCTAGTATTTCAGAGTTCACTAAATTTAAGTGAATATTGCAGTAGCCAGCCTCCAAGATAGCCCCAATGATCCCAGCATCCTGGTATTCACACACCCATGTATGTGAATAAATACTCCTCCTTCCCTGTCAAATGTGGGCTAGACTTAGTGACTCCTTTCTAATGAACGGAATAAGACACAAGTGATTGGAGAACAGGTCATAAAAACATGGTGACTTCATTCTTTTCTCTCTCTGTGGAGAGGCACACATGACTAGCAAGTGAAGCCACCTACCAATAGTCACGTGAGTGAGCCTGGAAGTGGATTCTTCAGCTCCAGTCAAGTCTTCAGAGACTGTACAGTCCCAGCCCTGGGCCAGAACCATCCAGCCAAACCACTCCCAGACTCCTGAAAAAGGGCACAAGGGAACTTTTGGCGGTGACTGAAACACTATCTTGATCGTGGGTAGTGTTTACATGGGTGCGTACATTTGTTAAAACTCAAATTTATATAATTAAAATGGGTGCATTCTATTGTATGTAAAGTATACTTCAATAAAGTTGATTCTTTTTAACAGGCCACTGAACCCTTGGGATAAGCAGATGAAGGATCATTTATGAGAAAGCAGTGCCCTAACTTAAGAAGTTAAGGGTGGGCGGTAAGAAAACAGAAGTGCATTAACAAGCCACCACCACAAACATACATGTCCTAAACTGCTCCTCAGAATTGCTCCACCCACAGTCTTTCCTATCTCAGATGACAGCAATCCCATACTCCCAGTTGCTCTTGCCAAAAACACTGGAGTCATTCTCAACTCTCACACCCCACATCCAATCCATAAGCATATCCTGTTGGCTCTATCTAAAATATATTCAGACTATGATCGCCTCTCACCACCTCCAATGCTACTACCCTAGCCTCTCGCCAAGATCACAGCAACAGCCAAACAGGTCTCCCTACTTCACTCTTGCCCACCGACAGCCTATTATTAACCCAGCAGCTAGAGTGATCCTTTCAAAACCCAAGGCAGATCATATTGTTCATCTGCTCAAAAACCTACAACTACTCCCCATTTCACTCAGACTAAAAATCCATGTGTTTGCAAGGTCACATAAATTGGCTCCTTGCTATCTCCCTGATCTCCTCTCCTATTAGCCTCCTCCTTGCTCAGTCTACTCCAGGCACACTGGGCTGCTTGCTGCTTATCAAACACACGAACATGCTCCCACTCTAGGACCTTCACAGTGACTGTCTGCTCTTGTCTTTCCCCCGATACCTACGTGGCTCATCATTCCCTAACCTCCTTCAGGTCTCTGCTCAAACATGACCTTCTTTACCCAGACCAACCTATTTAAAATTGCAAACATTTCTCGTCCTTGATCATCCTCATTCTATTCAACTTTTTCTTTTCTTCCAGAGCACCTACCACTTCGTAAAATACTACATAACTTATTTATTATGAATACTGTCTATCCTTCACTCCTTCCACAAAACAATCTCTAGGGGAGGGCGCGTGGGTGGCTCAGTCGTTAAGCGTCTGCCTTCGGCTCGGGTCATGATCCCAGGGTCCTGGGATCGAGCCCCGCATCAGGCTCCCTGCTCAGTGGGAAGTCTGCTTCTCCCTCTCCCACTCCCCCTGCTTGTGTTCCCTCTCTCGCTGTGTCTCTCTCTGTCAAAGAAATAAATAAAATCTATAAAAAAATATTATTAAAAGAAAAACAATCTCTAGGGGAGGATCTTTGTTTCATTCACTGATGCATCTCAAGTGCCTAGGACAGTGCTCAGTATACACAACAGGTGTTCAACAAGAACCTTTGGAATGAATGAATTTTTGAGCAACTGTGTCAGATACTGGGCTAAGCACTTTATACACTATTTAATCACCAGGGAAATCTTGGGAAGTATGCATTAACCTCATGTTCAAATTGAGGACCATAAAGGTTAAATAACTTGCACAAGGTTATATAGTAGTAAATGAAGCCAGGACTTAATTATGCCTAACTCTAAAGCCTTAACCCTAGGTTCCTCAAAGTTGGGTGTGAATGGGGAAGAGAACTAAGCTGCTTCAGAAAATAACTAGGCTGAGAGTACATGGAAGAAAAGATGCTGATCTGCGATCCAAAATAAGCAGAGGCAAACAATTAACATTTGGGGAAATCCCTTCAATTTTTCTTTGCTTTTAGTCCTAGTCCAAGTCCTATAGGGACAGAAATACAAGCTAATGACTATCAGAAAGAGACCATAAAAAAGGAGTAAGAAAATTAAAAGACCCCATAGCTTGAGCTCCATGGTTGAGAAAACATGGGTCAGTACCTTTTGTCTAAATTCACTGGTATCCTTTATCCCACTGGAAAGGAGCAATATACTAGCAGTTTCCTATTTGTTTTTGGTTTTTGTGCGTTAACATGTTTCTTTCTTCTGGATCCTACTGGTAGAGTACAGGTGTTGAAAAATTATATTTAAAAAGTACACAATCTACACATAAACATTTACTGATTTAAATCCGAGGGAAAGATACTGAGTTTGCCACTGTTACTATTCTTGGAACACAGCCACACTCATTTGTTTACATATTGTCTATGGCTCCTTTTCCACTATAACAGCAGACTTGAGCAGCTGCAACACAGACCGTATGCCTACAAAACTAAAAATATTTGATACATGGCCTTTTACAGAAAAAAACCTTCTAAAACAAATATTAATAAAATGTAAGTGTCCTGATAACTTGCATCAGTTCTATCAGTTGTATTTGAAAACATACCTTCTAAACACTAAAATAAGTCATACATTTTTGTTATTGTTGGTCATGTAACTAAAAACATGTCAATGGCTTAAGTCCAAGAATAATGTGGTCTTCGATCTGGTAAACAGTTATCATTACATTAATTTAAGCAAACATACTGTCTAGTAGAGTTAACACCCATTTATTAGTTATTAAATACTGGCAGACTTGGGTAACATTGAGATGTCCATTTTGAAGTGTTAAAATAGTTTAGCATTAAAGTTGAGGAAATGACTTTTTTTGGTTTATGTCTGTAGTATTTGAGCCACCATGTTAAACGAACGTTAAAGTGTTTGGGGCGCCTGGGTGGCTCAGTTGGTTAAGCGACTGCCTTCGGCTCAGGTCATGATCCTGGAGTCCCGGGATCGAGTCCCGCATTGGGCTCCCTGCTCGGCAGAGAGTCTGCCTCTCCCTCTGACCCTCCCCCCTCTCATGCTCTCTATCAAATAAATAAATGAAATCTTTAAAAAAAAAAAAAAAAGTGTTTGGAACAAGGAAAAAAATAATTTCTTCATTGACTTACACATACATGCACAAAACAAAGCATAATCCTACAGTGACTTCCCAACTTCTTCCTTATACATAAGAATTACCAAACAGTAAAACTTGGAACATTTGCTTTTAGTCTTCCAAGTAAGCAAGCTAATACAGAGAAAAGCAAATCACTTATTACTCTTTTTAAAAATTCTGTAATCTATTTTCCCCTCTCCCTCTCCAAAGATTAGCTGGTTTGTCGCCCACAAAAGATCGAATCCGGGGGTGCTGGGTGGCTCAGTCGGCTAAGCATCCAACTCTGGGGTTTGGCTCAGGTCATGATCTCAGGGTTGTGAGATCGAGCCCTGGGTTGGGCTCTTGCTCAGCGGGGAGTCTGCTTGAGATTATCTCCTCTCTCTCTCTCTCAAATACATAAGTAAATCTTAAAAAAACAAAACAAAACCCACCTTATTTCATAAAATTTAAACAAAAAGTCTTCATTGTAATATACAAAACCAGGAATCCTTTTCCCAAAACAGGCTAATACAAAAATCTTTGTATTATATATGTATTATGTTTTGCAAATAAAGTGAGAGGTTATGCTATTCATGACGATACTCAGAAGAGTAAGTGAGCAAGTTGATAAAAACAGGTACAGAAACACAAAGGGAACAGGAGAAATACTGAGCATAAGATGAAACCAAAAAATATTTTTCTTTAATATTTTATTTCAACAAGAGTCAACTTCTACATTAAAAAATGAACCAATTCAAGATATTTTTCACTAAATTTCACAAAGTTATGTAATACATTTAAGTTAGTGTTTAATAGAGCTCTCAGCTTAAACATTTCATATCTTCAACCTAAACTTCCAATATAAAAATTTTAAGGCATCAGTTTGTTTTCCCAGCTTTTCCTCAAAACAAAAAAAATTATTTCCAAGTTGAAGTTTTCACACCGGTTTTTAATCAAAATTAAATTTGCAGTATTAACAGAAGTAGAAAGTTACCCATGAGCTATTTCTTATTATTAAATTTTATGCCTACAGAGCCTTCTCCCATTTTTCTCTTAATTTTATTTTTTTTACAGCACCGGAATCACTTGGGTTAGTAAAACAAAAAATATCCTGTCAACACTTTTAAAGGAGTTAAGTTTTAAATATTACACGTAAGAAAGCACACTACTCTCTTTAAGGGCTACAAGTTTCTATGATGAATATTATATACATGAAATTAGTAATGGAATGATACCAAAAAAATTTGACACTGATTTAAAAAATTGTATTACATCCTTATAATATGTAAACAAATCTGACCATATATGTATATAATCACACCTGAGATCTCTTCATTAAACTATAAATCTTCCGATAGTCTCTAATAGAACAATCCACAGTATTTCAAATGCAAAGAAATGTTTCCTACCTTGCCTGCTTCTCTTTCTAAGTCGACATACTCCCGGCTAGGTGTCTGTCGTTGTTCTCCCTGCCAGCTGGCCGGAAAAAACTGGAGAGACAGATTGGTTCCTGTGGCCACAAAAGCCTTTTAGAAAAATCAATACAAACAGGATCAGGAGCAGGACATTACATAAATTATGCAGGCAGTCATTTATTTTTACATCAGTTTCTGTCTTAAGCCAGGCAGCACCGAGAATACTTAAAAGTAAAAAACATGCACTCATCATTTTTCTTAAGTATTAAGTTACAAACATCTGATTCCATTTTGAGGACATTTGCCATTGGCTGCTTAAATATAAAATCAGACATGGAATCAATACTTTCTTTCAGGTCATTTTTTGCTGACGTTAGGATCTCGCATTGCTAATGTCTAACCAGAAGCCATCATCCCTGAATTTAAAAACTTCTATTTTTAAATGTGAAAATCACTAAAGATCTAAACATTTTGAATTTTAAAGCATACCACAATTTCAAGATGTGTAAATGAGGCATTTTAATTTCTCTTGATTTCCCTCGCCTAATGGAACACTATGTTCTAAACCTATGTTAAAAATGCACAGGACTGCCTCTTCTGATAAATGATACATTAGCATGTAATGTGACAGAACTTCTCATCTCTCTAAAACCTCAGGTGACTTAAAAAATATGCATTTTCTGAAATTTAACTTTAGGAGAAGTGGATCTGACTATACAAGAGAGTATTCATCTAATATTTATAATAAGATTTGGATGCATGGTTCAACAGACAGAACAATCTAAAACCATTTCAATAAAGTATTCTGTGTAACCCCTAAGCAATTTAACTATATTTCCTCCAAGTAAAAAAATGGACATAGCATTGTCCCTCTTCCCAAGGGAAATTCAGAAAGAAACAAAGAAATAAGTAAAAAACATTTTGAAAACACACACACACAACATTTTTCATCATCTAAATGTAAACTCTTCTTTTTTTGTTGAAATGAGAAAAGGTTTTGGTTTGTTTTACTTTACTAATTAAAGTTCCACAACATACTTTGTTTCCAATCAAAGACTCTTCATCTGAAAGGAAGGGGTTCACATTTTGGGCAATTTGTTTAAAGCCATCAGCTGCTTCAACTATCCACCAGTACCACTGGTGATTAACAGCTTAGATTCTTTAGAGATAAAAATTTTATTCTTCCTATTTCTATTATTGGTACTGGAGGTACAACTGTCAACCTAACTGCTAAATCTCTATAGAAATCTTTGATGGCATTTACCTCGTCAACTGGGATACTCTTTCTTGTGGTATTTTATATAAATAGGAACTGAACAAATGTCAATATAACAACATTAACCTTTAAAATAAATCTTTCCCCATTAACACTAAGTTTAAAAGAAAAGTGGAGTGAAATGAACCAACAATAGTTCAAATGAAAAGCAGACTCTAGAAGGCACACTGCCTAGGCTGTATGACGAAGCAAGTTACTTAGCTGTACCTCAGTTTCCCCACTAATTATTTGTAAAGTGCTTATAATAGTACCAGGTAAATGCCATTTAAGTATTTGCTAAATAAGAGAAATAGTTTTGAGTTGGATAAAAAAGCTAACTTTTTCAGCCTCAGATAATAAAATAAATTCTCAGCGTAGAGTGGTGGCAGGTAAGAGATTCAGTCCATGAATGAATGCCTTGTATCAAAATCCCCAAGGCATGTTTCTTTAGTACTCACCTAGTAACAAATCCTTCCACCCCCAGTGTACCCCAAATCAGCTCCTTGCTAAGTAAAAACAGTCTACAGATCTTATTACCTCACCTCCTGTCTGAAGACCAACCTCAGAAGAGATTTCCTGCTTCATCACTTCATGCCCATTATCTCATCAAGATCTCTCTCTCTGAGAGAGAAGTGGTAAAAACAGATCATTCTAGAATAGCATTTTGCAAATTTATTTGACCATAGAACTCTTTTTTTAATGGAATATCTACACACGCATAACAATTGGGAAAATTCTGTTCAAAAACATAAAATTGCTACAGTGGTATCACTGTCTATATGTAAGATTTCCAGATTGTCCCAATGATTATTCTACAGGTTTCACTAATTGTAAAATAACAAACCTTATGCCAATCCAACACACATTTATCCTTCCATCTTCAGGATTAAAAATATAGTTTTTACGGCTGTCACAGTCATCACCATACCTGAATTCTTTTCTTTAATTTACCATTAATGTTGAAGACTTCTCCAACACTCTTACCAAAATAAGAACTTACATGAGGAATAAAACAGACCAAATAGATTCTACCCCTTACCCATAATCACTTTTATTCATGCTATGATAAGGAGTCTGAGTAAGTTTTATAGTTATGATCACATCTAAATACAAAATAAATTCATAAACCTCAATGATACACTAAGGGGATGTTCAAAATTAAAAGAATAAAAAGAGGGGAGAAAGATCGATAATAGTTTTGGTAACTATGCATATTTTTACTGTATATAGCTGCTGTCAAAACAGAGGCAAAATAATGCCTTCTACACACCTATTTCCCACAACCAAATAAGTAAAAGCCACAGCCTGTTCTTAACTAAAAAGATAAATTTTAGGCATTATATTAAATAACCTCTAAATTCAATTAATCAAGTACCGATGATACAAAAAGTGTTATGCAGAGTACCTGTTTAGAGGAGAGTATATTAATGTATACACCACAAAGTTAATGGGGTCTCCACTCTCTAGGAGCTAGGTAGGGATCCTGTAATTTAAATGTGAAGAATACTGAATTAAAGGGAGAGGGAACTAGAAAAAGTGAAATTCCTTCCCAAATACAAAGTTACGTTATTCAACAAATTAAGACACATATGCTATATTAAGTGCAAATCATACACAGAATTCAACCTACCCTCCTTTAACTTTTAATACTTGTCAGATATTAAGAACTTATTAAAATTTGTAGGATCAGGTATCTGGAAGAGGAAGGCCTACAATATCTGATTTATCCCTGGAAAGAAACTTATGATAAATCCAAGCAACCTATAATACTGCTATAATATTATAGTAATATTATAATAGAGCAAAAAAATTCAGATCTACTGTGGGTTAAATTATACTTCCAATTCATAATTATATGCAGCAAAGTCCCTGATGTGACAGAAAACAACCTAATAGCTATACTTCATTAGGTTTCCAAAAAAAAACCCTCAGCTTTAAAAAATCATTAAGTACTTTGTACCTCATCTTTCACACTTACATCAATTAACTTCAGGAAATCCATTGGTTAGGTATACCATCTACCTTTTCCGAAAGGAAGCCCAGACAAAGAATGATATAATCGCTGCATCAACTAATGAATGATTCTTCTACCACTCAAGGCCAAAACCGAAAGTATGTGTCTTAGACATTTTAATCATATAACTATTATAACTACTCAAGAAACTTGGAAGTGGGCTAAAAGCTGGAGATTTTCTTTCATAACATGCACTAACGACCTAATATTCTAGAGCTCCTAATAAATTTAGCCAGTATCTTCACATCATCTGTAATACAATTCTAAAAAGTCTTCATTTTAAATTGCAAAATATTCTTAAAAATAAATTTGATTTAGGTGATGAAAAGGGAGAATTTTATGGTATTTGCACTGTTTTTCAATAAAATATATTCTCCATGAATGAGGTGGGAAAAGTAAATGTTCCAATATGTCCTCCTATTGTTAACCCAAATTCAAACTCCGCCATAGCTTCAAGTCTCTGCAAATGCAATGGGCCCAGTTCAGAAGAGATAACTAGATTCCACTATACAGTACTTCAACTTCTTTTTTCTTTTTTTTAATTAATAAGATCTTTTTTCTTTAGCTTCTTCCTACTTACCCTTTGGCTTTTTCATTCCCTCCTCGTTAGCACCTCCAATAGGACAAACCAAAACGGAGATGAGACACTTGAATTTTTCCCCCCCAAGGTAAGGTTTGGTGAAGGCGAAGCACCAAATCTACCACCTGAAACAAGGCCTCAAGATCAACTGTGGGTTTCGCAAATCCATGCAATTCTTTAGGAACTGCGGCACTAAACGGGAGACGTTTTTGAGGTTTGAAAAAAGATAATGGTTTCTTTCTGTTTCTCCTGAGCCTTAACATTTTAAGAAAATAAAATGGCTCATTCTTTAGGGCTTCTTTTTCTCTATTAGGACAACAGATAACTGGTATAAAGATTCTCGGCTATACTCGCGGTGAAACAGCTTCACATACAAATTTACCAACAAACCTAGCGTCCTGAGAAACCAACTCTCGCCCAGGAATCAGATCCTTGAATGAAGCCCAATTCTTTTTCCGAATGGGTGTTTTCTCCCTTACAAATACCCCAACCCGTTAATCCGTGACACAGCCTATACAAGGACCTCTCCTTGTTTAGTTGGGCTCCGGTGTAGTTCCACTCGCGGCAAACTGTTTGCCGAGTTGCGTCTGGGAAACATAACCGGCCTGCACAGGGCCACAGAGAAGCGTGTCCCCGCGAGGACGCGGCCCGCCAGTGTCTGGTTTCGCATTTTGAATCCCGAGTAGGAAGTGAGACGGCGCCCGCTCAGTTCCGGGAGTCGCGGCGTCCGCGGCGCCGTCCGGAACCAGGCTGGGCCGCGGCGGCCCCCGTGCAACAAGTGACCCGCGCGCGCCTCTGTCCCCGCACCCCTGCCCCGCCGACTTACGATTTCCGAGCGGCCGTCGCGGCAGGCGTTCTGGAAGCGCGCCTGGCGCTCCTCGTGGGGCCGGTCCCTGAAGCCCGTGTACTTAATCTGCAAGGCAGAGACGGCCCGAAATCAGGAGCCAAATCCGCGACGCCGCCTGCGCGCCCACCCGCCCCGCGCGGCGCAGATAAGGGCAAGCAGAGTCTGCGGGCAGGCGGCCGCCCGGGCGAGATTGCCCCTCCGCCGGGCTGCCCGGGGCCGCGCCGCCCAAACTTTTCTCCGCCCGGGCCCACTCGGGGCGCGCCGCGGCCTCCGCGCCGCCCGCCTGCCTCACCTCGCATTCGCGGCTCAGCTTCCTGAAGAACTCCTCGTTCTCGAACTTGCTTCTCTGGTCGGGCACGACGCGCGGCATCTTCCCGCTCTGAGGCCGCGCCGGCCGGCCGAGCTCCGGGCTTGCGCGGCACCCGCTGGCCGGCTTCGAGCTGACCGACTGACCGCCCACCCGCGGCGCCCTGACTCTGGCTTCCCTTTGTTTCAGGCGCCCGCCCGCGTGGGCTCCCAATCCCGGGAGTCTGAGAGTGCAGCCGCCCGCTCGAGCCCAGCCCACGCCGCCGCCGCCGCCGCCGCCGCCTCAGCCGTTGCCTACCGCCCGCGCGAACCCAGCATTCGCCGCCCCCGGCCGCCGCCGCCACCACCGCCACTTCCTCTCACCGCCCACCTCGCAAGCCCGCCCGTCCGCTCCGCCCCGGTCGGCCCCACCCCTCCTCCTCGCGCGCCCGCCCGCCCCAAACTCCAGCAAACAAAACGCACCATTCACAACTCTGCGACCCGCGCCGCGCATGCGCCGCCCGCCCGCTTGCGGGGCGGCTGGGCTGCCGCTAACCAGAGCTCCTCCCGCGGCGCGGCCCTCTTTCCCTCGTCCGACCGCGGGCTGCTCGGTGCAGAACAGCTCTGCGGGAATCTGCCCGGACCTTGGAGACGGGGAGCGGCCCGCGCGGGTCCTTTCTGTCGGCTGTATGGAACTTTGGGGCTCTTCAGCTGCTCGGAATGACCCCAAATTGTCACCTGAACGTGAGGAAACTTAAGTCCTTGGGGACTTTGTCTCCCACAACAGACGGGGAGGGATGTAGGCTGTTCCTATCAAAGACTAAAGACCACAGAATCCAACTGAATCCGCATCATGGTGGAAAGGTCGGAGCTGTTGGGAGTCAGACGGGCCTTGGCTGGGATCTCACTCCGAAGCTTACACAAGCCTTACACAAGCCCTGGGCGCTAAGCCTCAGTTTGCCTATTTGCAAAACGCAGACACAAGCTCTCACGGTAATGAGCAGTCAATAAGTTTAAGTCTCTAAAGAAGAAAAGCTGAATTATATGTAAACCTATTGCCAGTCCATATATTTACCCAAATGTGCAATCAAACCCTAAAAAAGATCCACAAGTTTTAGGGAAGTCATTTGGCCCAAGCTGGAGAGAGTTTGACATGGGATTTATGGCAGAGATTGACTCAAAGTTGATCCTCAATAAATTCTGATCCTTAAAATTCCAGCGTGTCCAAAACTCAGTGCAAGGATGGCAAATAGGTGCCAGCTCTGACTGACAGTAGCTGGCCATGTTGCAAAGGATTGTAAGGATAACAATGTCGGCGTGAATGCAGGGTTTGGCAGAATTTCCTTCCCCTGCCTAGTTCAATCTCAGGTCTGCAGATAGGGAACGGAGCTAGGGTGACCAAGTGTCCAGTTTTCCAGAGACTATCCTGGTTTTACAGTGAAAGTCCCATGTCCTAGGAAACCATTGGCTCGCAAACTGGGATGGTTGGTCATCCTGAGGTCCAGAGATGGATCAGTTGCCCAAGGTCAGGGAGGGGGTTTTCAGCAAAGTCAAACCTGTAGGCTGGTGGTTTTAACAAACACACTTTCTGAATAGCAAACATACAATCAACGGTCTCCAAGGGCATCCTTTCCCGGTCCATATCAAACCTGTGTGAATATATGAGTGTGCGCAAATAGAAAGGGTATAGATATGGATGTCAGCAAACACTACCATTGGGCCTCCATCTATCTCAGAATCTTCCCTCAGGTCTCTCTCTCTCTCTTTTTTAAGATTTTATTTATTTATTTGAGAGAGAGAGAGAGCATGAGAGGGGAGAGGGTCAGAGGGAGAAGCAGACCCCGCTGAGCTGCGAGCCTGATGCCGGCTGGATCCCAGGACCCTGGAATCATGACCTGAGCCGAAGGCAGATGCTTAACCAACTGAGCCACCCAGGCGCCCCTCCCCCCCGGTCTCTTTCAATTGTAAGTGACAGAAACCCAATTCAAGCAAACTTAAAGGTAGAAAGGGGCCTGTTTTATTGTAAGTAAATAAATCACACAGAGGGGATAGTCTCCTTTTCTTTTCCATTTCTCCATTTCTTCTCACTGCTTAACTTTCTCAAGCTTTCTTCATTGGCAGCCATTTCCTGGCAAAGGATGGGAACAGCCACTTCTCCATCTCAAAGTCATAAAATTTCTGGGAAGGACTTTGATTGGCCCAGTCTGGATCACATACTCTTCCCTCTATCAGATCACCATGTCCAGGCTGATATGATGACATGGGCTAGCTTATGTCACATGCTCTCCCTAGAGGAGAGCTCGGGGTTGGGGGGCCTGGGATAGGCAGCCTCAGATAGAACCTGATGGATTGAAAGAGGGGAAGAGCAGTTTCTCCAAAATGGGGGAATGAGAGTGCATTGTGGGCCCACTGAGCAGTTTCTATCAGCTACATCTGGCAAAGGATACCATCTTTATTTTGCTGCCTAAAGGTTCTGATGAAACTGGAGAGGGAAACTCCAAATCAGCACAGGCAAAGCGCAGGCAAATCCAGCCTTAAAACATCTGCAACTTATGTTGAGAGGTGGGTGAGGCAGCATCCACCCCAAGGCACCAAGGCACCAAGGCAGAACTAAGTCCCTCACAAGGAACAGAAGCTTTCATCCATCTGCTGTGTCTACTTTAAGTCTTCCCCAGTCCAGCTAAGACCTTTGGACACTAGGACAATGCAGCCATTGTCTAAATGAGAGGAAAACGATGTGGCCTTCAGACAGTCAACAGGACCGTCTGAAGGCCACCGGTCAGGGGAGCAGAGTTCCTGATGTTCGCCTCTGTGGTAGGAAGAGAGTATATCCCATGTCACACCATTTGGCACCATCATATTCTGTCTAGATAGGCATTAGTATAAAATTTTCCATTTCCGTCTTTAAAGAATGATCCACAAGGCAGCACTCTTACTCCAGCGGGTCCAGGTAGGGTTCATGGACCTGCAGCCGATCTTGGCGGAGGGGTAGGAGTACAAAGCAGGGCAGAGTACGTGAATTGTCAGCCTCATGGGGGTGGGGAATGATGTCCTGAGGGAAAGGGATGAGAAAGCCTGCCAGGCAAATCCAGAACAGCAGGACCACAGACAGCCTTTGGCAACTCCAGGCCACAGGATAACCCACTCAGCATTGTCTGGCATCCAACCAGCCAGGACGACTGGGAAACCAGCCGCAGGCTGGAGGAGGCCATCTCCTCAGCTGACCTCTGTATGCCTTTTTTGTTGTTGTTGTGAAAGTTTTTTTCACTTAACTTTAAAAATTAGATGAAAGGAAATTAATAAAGGAAAAGTTCACCCTTGTCAGGTGTATTTAACCCTGTGTTTCTGTCTGGCTGGTTATGGATTGGTCCAGGCACCACCCTATGGAGGGGTTTGCAAAGAACCAGCTCTAGCAGGGTTGGTCCATAGATGGAAGCCTGTGGGTATCTGTTCTTTGCCTAGAAACACCCTTCCCATTCCAAAAAACCTGGCTGAATTCTCTCTGAAGCCCTGCCATTTGGAGCCTTCCTTTCCTAAGGATTCAGCCAGCCCAGGGCCTCTTCTCTCTTATCTTCCTGGGTGGGCAGTTGCTCCTACAGGACTCCCCGACTGATCTCGAATGGGTGGGCAGAGAATGCACAGTAACACTGAGCAGGGGATGAGAACTCTCAATTGTTCGGCTCAACTGTGAAGCTGTGAATTGGCTGCTTTTATGTCCCTTAGCTCAGTTAATTCAGAGAACCACTTTCTAAGACAAGTTTTCTTGTCCTAATCAGACGGATGAGGAAATAGAGACTCTGAAACAACAAATAAGTGACCATAGGACAGTGACAAGACCTTGACTCATTAGAGATAACAAAATGGCATTGGGATAGATCATCTTCATTCACTCTTCACTATAACCCTGCATTTTGGTATAATTCACCCTATTCTACAGATGAAGGAACTGAGGCTCAGAAGGGCTGGCAATCCCAGGGCTGTGCTCTTAACTGTTCCACCCTAAGACATCCACTGGTAGAGCTGCCAAAAACACTGCTCATCTCTCTAGCTGAACTGCAAACTGTTGGACAGTTGCAACTGGGGTCATTCCTCCTGGGGCACCCTACCATGCTCCCAAAGGGTCCCCAACAGGCTGAATGAAGGGATCCTATTGTGGCAGGATGTGTTTCTTTTTTTTTTTTTTAAAGATTTTATTCATTTATTTGAGAGAGAGAGAATGAGAGACAGAGAGCACGAGAGGGAAGAGGGTCAGAGGGAGAAGCAGACTCCCTGCTGAGCAGGGAGCCCGATGTGGGACTCGATCCCAGGACTCCAGGACCATGACCTGAGCCGAAGGCAGTAGCTTAACCAACTGAGCCACCCAGGCGCCCAGGCTGTGTTTCTTGACCTTGACGGTTATGCATTCCTGTCCCCTGAGCCCAACTGTTTGTCCTTCCTTGGCTTGGAAGGTCAAGGCCTAGACATCCTGCCTCCTTAAGTCCGGCAGAAAGGATGGCTTTATCCAGGTCTCGTGTCGGCAGCTCCCCACATCTGCTTCTCCTCATAGAGAGGGTGAGGTCTTCCCAGGCCCCTGAGCCTCTAGTGCGTTTTTTTTTTTTCTAAGGAAACTGTTTCCCTCCAGTTACTGAGGAAATATTGTGCCATCTTGAAGCTGAAATAGGATCTGGAGCCACAAATGAGACTTGATGGTGGTGGGAGAGAAGGGAAATTAATGGCTGGCACAGCTCCTAAAGCCCCAGCTCTACCTAGCTTCTAGTTTGGGGATGGAGTTGGGCCTAAGTCCAGAATGAGGGTGTCATCTGCCAAATTAAGCTGTTTCCTGGGCCCTAAAGAATTCTTTTTTGAGATATAATTTATCTACACCATAAAATTCACCCCTAGGCCCTTAAGAATTTCCCCTCCCAGGAGGTTCTCCCCCTTCTTAGTGCCCCTGCCACCCTCCCCCACTCACTCAGCCATCCCAGAGGGAGAGGAAAACCAAGAGGAGCAAGTTTCCCTAGAATAGCATTTCTTCAGCGTTGGGATCAATAAGCCCGTTTTCTTAAAAGGAACCAGATGATTTCATCCTTGTAATTACAAGTTTGACGTTTGCAAATCTTGCCCAGGCTCCAAATGAGCCTCTTTGTCATGGGAGGCGGAGGGGTTTTGTCTGGATGCCTGGGGATGGGGACCGAGCCTTGAATCTGGGAAGAGGGCCAGACTGGGGTCAGGAGGCCTGGCTGACCAGTCTTTGAAGGTTATTTGGGACT